TCATGTAGCTTCTTTATGCTTATTGGGATTCCTAAATGTAGCGAGAAGTCGTTCTTTAAAGGTTTCGTAATTAAAGAAGATGTGAACAACTTCCACTCTAGCTTTAACGCCGTGCTTAAGATGTGCGCGGAGGGTTAGCTCCTACTATTCCATTGCTTTTCTAGTTAAGAGGTTGCCAATACAAAGAATCTGTGACTCAGGTGTTATGTAGATTTTTTCGTTAACTCGTAGGTAAGCTTAAGCTTATATGAGAAAGTTCCTTACATTACCCTTGTAACCATCGTATAATTTAGGCTTGGGGAATTTTAGTATGTTATTATTATTAATAGAGGATATAGGTGTGAGATTTTAAACTGCTATAAGTTCCTCTTCTCGTGCCTTAAGTTTCTCGTAGAGATTATTCTATCGGTTAAGAAGCTATCGATTCTGCTTCTTAAGCTTGGTAATCTTGTTATAAAGGTACTTTATTATCTCCCCGGGGTTAGTGGTCTTTCCGCTTGAAGTAAATATCTTAGAAGTTATTACTACTTAAAGTTTTAAGGTAACTTACTAAACAGGATTAATTAAAATGTAACGGTAGCTTAGGTTCTAAGGCATAGTAGGTTTTTTTTTTAGTCTTTAATATTATTAGCTTAATCTCCTTTTTTTTTCTTTATAGTATTAAAATATTCTAGTCTCTTAAAGGCTCTTTATAATAGTGGCTTAGGTTCTAAGGTATAGTAGGTTTATTTCTTAGAAAGTAAGTTAGGTTAAATGCTATAGAGTAGCTTTTAAGTAGTATTATAATAAGGCCGTTAAGAGTATAACTCTTAATAGTAAAACTATTACTTAGATTAATTAATAGAGAACTAAACTATCTACTATAGCGGAATACCCCCTCCTTAAGTACTTGTCTATCTCTCTATTATAGTCCTAGATCGATTGGCTCGACCATTAATCCCTTCGAACCTTGATCGACTAGCTCGAGGTTCGGTCGGTTCAATCCTCCCTGGTTAATGTGTTCAAACATCGACCTCTTCGATCGCCTCTTGGGTCACGTGGCTGGTCACGTGCCCCTGCCTTCTTCTTGTGCCCACGGGTCGTGCCTGTCCTAGCCGGTGCGGCCCCGTCCCGTGTCTTGTGCAGTGTCGTTCGTAACACTTAGCACAACATGCACAACAATAAGTATTAAATCTTATGCCCGAAGACATTATCCACAAACAGAGCATTGACAAGAAAACTACATTTTCATTTTTTCAAAAAGCTTAAATAACTAATAATAAATCTAATAAAATACTTAAATTATAATAATAAATACATAAAATAGCTAATATTATAACCAATTAGCTTATTA